CTCATGTGTATTTGTGCGCACAGGCACAGAGGCAGCACAGGTAAGCAAGCACTCTCCAAGTTGTTTTTTGAGGCAACCAACAGCTTGAAAAACATTGTTCTAAAATGAGAGCAGACAAAGAGAAGTTTTCAGTCCCTACCTTGTTCTTCTATAGGGAGGTGTGGGGAGGAGTAAGGAAGAAGTCCCACAGGTTGCTGAAGCAGGAGGAACAGCAGAGTACCCTCACTGATTCGTTTATGCCGCTTACAGGACAGTCTCCCTCTTGTGCAAGATACTGGCTGTGGCTTAGAGCAAACAAGAAATAGAACTCACAGAGTAAACAGTCTTCAGCTCTTGAATACAACCCATTTACATATTAATACAGGGAAGGGACCACAGTTTAAACCTTTATGGGAAGGATGTCTACTGTCTACTAGGGTTTCCAGGCTGCCTTGCAGCTGTCCTGGGACCCCACGCTTCTCTGACCAGCTGTGACTGATGCTGAAGGCCACTGCATTACCTTGGGCATATGGGGCTGTGGAGCAGTGAAAGAGCTGTGTCACGGTTTAACCCCAGCCAGCACCAAAGCCCCACACAGCCACTTTCTCACTCTCTCCTGGTGGGATGGGGGAGGGAACTGGAAGACTAGAAATGAGAAAACTCATGTGTTGAGATAAAGACACTTTAATAGGTAATGCAAAAGCCACATATGCAAACAAAGCAAAACAAGGAATTCACCCAGCACATCCCATGGTCAGGCAGGTCCAGGAAAGCAGGGCTCCATCATGGCAATGGTGACGTGGGAAGACAAATATCATCACTCTGAATGTCCTCCCTCTTTAGTACTTCTTCCCCAGTTTTAGATGCCAAGCATGACTCCATACAGTATGCGATACCCCTGTGGTCAGTCAGCTGTGTCCCCTCCCACCTCCTCGTGCACACCCAGCCTACTCACTGGTGGGGTGGTGTGAGGAGCAGGAAAAGCCTTGTCTCTGTGTAAGCACTGCTCAGCAATAGCTAGAACATCCCTGAGTTATCAACATGGTTTCCAGCACAAATCCAAAACACAGCCCCATACTGGCTGCCATGAAGAAAATCAACTTTACCCCAGCCAAAACCAATGCCTGAAATACAAGCAGGGTGGTGGCAGGGGTGCCTGAGCTGTATACACTGGTGAGGCTAGGAAGCAGTGAAAGCTTCTGTGTGAGAGGTGGCAGAGGGAAGATCCCCACCCTGCCAGCCTGAGCAGCAATCTCTGCTATTTCTGTTGCTTTCTGCTGCTTTCTGCACACATATAATTTGTACAATTACAGGAGAGAGGATGATTTCCCCTCCCTTCTAGCTCTTTATCGCTAGAGGAAAAATGCAGCCTTGGGTTCCAGATCCACCCCTCACTGACACCATTTTGTTTTGAAATTGACTTGCTGGGGAACCAGGAGGTCTGCTCCAGGCCTTTGCTGAGGCCTGAGACAACCTTTGGGTATCATTTCCTGGGGCAACACCACAGAAAGTGATGCTAAACCTAACCAGAGAGCTATTGCAATTCCCCATTACTTCACAGGTATTATTTATGTATTAGAAACATACTTAGAGTCACGTAAGTTACTGAAAATAAATCTGGGAAAGGACAGTAGCAGCACCTGATTCTTCTTAGTGTGTACAATCTTGATTTGCAGATCAGCTTATAAAAGTAATTCAATAAATTCATCCATTTAGGAATCCATTTATGTATCCATTCAAGGATTACTGCTCTACTCTTTTCTTGCTGCTTCTCAAAGCTTGAGTCTCAAGTGCTTTACAACAGAAAAGCTGTACCAAGGACTTGTGTGAATCACTAGTGATCCTTCACCATGGTTTCAAGACCACTGGCAAATTAAAAGTAAAGCTTGTTGTGCAGACTTGTATCTCAGCAGGCAACACCGGTATGGTATGAAGAAGTTACATCATCAAAAGCAAAAAGCAGAAGTGACTTAATCCCTCAACCGAAAGTACTTGCTCCACGTATTTGGCCAAATCTGTAAATTACACTTGAAAGCAAATATAAAGGAAAATATGCAGTATCTTTCTTTATGAATACTCACTTAACATGCTTCTTTTAATCTTAGTACATAATTGAGTGGTCAAATACATGAATGATTCAAGCATTAGAAAGAGTGTCACCATGGAAAGTATTAATATACTTCATAATAAAAGTAGATCCCCTCATTTTTAATTTTGACCTATGTTATTATTAAAAAAAAAAATAAAAAAGAATCGTAGAACATTTTCCCCTCAGTGTTTCACTAGAAAAGTAACAGCAGCTCCAGGCTGGCCTCTTTCTAAGCAGCAGTACTTGCATGGAGCTTGAAGCGAAGTTTAGCATTTATGTCACGGGAACCCTCATGGAACAGCTCTTGCACACTAAACAGGACAGTGTCTACTGACCACAGCTCCCAAGTTTTCTTTTCCTTGTTTTATTTGCCTAGTAATACCCCAGAGAGCTGAAGCAGGGGCTGCAAAGTGGCTTGTATACTGCCAGATGCTACAGTTTGGAAGCCCCCATTAAGGCTCTTCTGCCACCATTCTGCAATTCCTCAGTGTACTGGCAAATTAATACACGGCAAAGGAAACAATGGCAAAACATTCCGAGGCTCTGACAACCGCTCCTTCATTCAGTACTACACCCTCCTTCAGAGAACACCTCAGAATAAATTAACATATGTGTATTTTTAAATTAGTCATATTTTTGCTAGGAGTAAAAAGAACCGAGAAACAAGTTAGATTCATAAATGAAAATGTATTTCATCTTTATACATGCTATACAGGTCATGCAAATACAGAAATCTACAGGTTATACAATGACACCATAATAAAATATAACATGACATTCATCAAACACAATGTATCACAACAAAACAAACTGGTTTTGTTTATTATCTAGGGAATAGATGAAGGACTAATTTGGAAGACACTGTACCATGCTACAGCCTACTGCACAGTCAAAAGAAAGTATGCCTCTGAAGTACACTAACATAAATAGAGCTGGATTGCTGTAGGTATGATTTCTTTATACATCGCACATAATGTCATTGGTTACATTCCCGTTGCTGGCTTTAAAGAGCACAAGAACGGGACTACAGATGAGCTCAAGCTACGCTGTGAACTCCCTTATGAGTGGAAAAAAACCCAAACAAAAAACCCCCACCCCCCCAAGTTTTCACGTCTTTTGTGTTAGTGTCCAAAGAGAGTTGTATTTATAATTTATTCTTATAAGGAACTGGACGAAAGTGTCCTCAAAGCAGCACAAGATCTAGCATAAAGTTATCGTACTTCACCTGCAGAAATAAAGTTAATATTGTATGGCACATAATGGCTACAAGTTATACATCTCAATGTGACTTATCCATACAGATGCTTACAGAATAGGTTAAGGGGGCTACAAGTGTTCCCCGTGTGTGCCTTGGCCTTTGTATTTCTGCTGCAACATTCAAATGTTGTTTTGCTGCTGACTGTATCTTGTTTTGTAGAGCCTACAGGAAGACAAAATACCTTTCCACATGATAGAAAGCCTGCTGGTATTAATCAAGTGTTTGCATCTTCAAAGATTAACATGTTATCTCAGCCCCTCTGACCACGCATCACTTGGATCTACTACAGCTATACTATATATAAATATATTAAAGGATTACACCAGGCATTTTGCCTACTTTGTTTACAGGTGTTACACAAGTATATTTTTAAACACATAGTTGATAGTCGCTCCTGGAATAATTAGTATTAACCAGTAAGTGCTACTCGTGACTAGAAGCGTCAACATAATCATAACAGGATAGCTCCCGCACCCCACAGTCAGTGAGAATGCCCTTCTGATTCCAGAAGTTGTATATCTTAAGCCTCTTCAGGTATAGTTTTGAATTATACACCTGCATAAGAGTTGCCAATAACTCCTTATTAAAGACAAAAAAAGATAGGCACAAAACTAAAGTCCAGTGTATCATTTCATTTCAATGCACTGTGGGTAAACCTCATCATTATTTACAAGAAAAAGACATCTAAATGGATGAATGATAAAGCTGTAGGAAAAACAGTCTCAAAAATAAAATGCACAGGTAAGTGTCACAGTGAGGTGTTGAGATGAGTTTTAAATTAAAAGTAGTAGTAAGTGCTTTATTAGCAGCTAAAGCTCAAATTCTAATGCACACTCAAGTCTTCACTGAAACCGTCACACCTCTAGATCATTGGTTTCTACCAAAAGCAGCCAGTTACTCAACATATTCCCTGGGAAGACACAGTTGTAGCCAGCTCTGATTATTTGAAATCCAGTGTTCAAGGACTGCAGAAGCTCTTTCAAGTGACAAGCTTATATTTTACTGCCAGTAGCATCACTGGGATATAGCTCCTCCACAAATGGCTACCTGTGTCAATTAAAAAAAAAAGAGAAGAGTATCAAGTCAGCTGTGCAAGTCAGATGACCTCGGTTTTGTTATTTAGAATATGCTCTTTCAAAAAATAAAGATAGTAAGCTGTCACTGAAGCCTACTATGCTTTTTTACTATGCAGTCTTTCCAGGAGAAGTGATTCTACACCATGCAGCAACTATTTATGGGAGCAGAAAAGAGTAAGCAGCAACAGTAGCTACCATTTTCTAGGCTGGCCCCAGAACTGTTAACTGTTTAACTGTTTTCATCATGCAAAAAGGCTCCAGAGACTTACAGGAAAGGTGGTGTATTAATAAAGAAAAAACCCCAACTCTTCTCACTATATTCTGAATGTGTAAAGGAAATGTTTCCATTTACCAGATGCTTTTGGTTGCTATGATACGCTCAGTTTGCATATGATGCCAGTTTACAGAGAGCTGCAAATATGAAAGATCCTACTGAATTTAAATATCTAGGAGACCAGCTTTCTTCCTCTCTCCACATATGCTGTTTACAACTGCTCTGTTTTTCTGGGAGGCTAGTAAGTAATCACAGCAATTTACCACATCTAAGATGTTTATCACAATACTGTACCTTTATCTGTTCTGCTGAAAAGTGAGGTTGTCAACAGATAGAATTAAGTGTATTTTCCTGTCCTGGACTGTTAAATCCCTCAATCAAGTTTTTGTTACAGTCATCTAGGCTAATGGTATCACTGGACATCTTGGAGTATGTAGCTTGGCCTGTGAAATCCAAGAGATCTTCAAGAGCCTTGGCATTACTTGTCCCATTCTCATCCAAAGAAACACCAGGCATGAGTTCATTCATGGGTGAATATTCAGGGATAGAGATTAGTTCTTCTTTTGAAACTGGGCTGTACAGAAGATAAATGAAAGGAAGATGCAGAATAAGAGGTGTGTAAGTTTTCACTGAGCAACAATCAAATTGATCTTCTGACTGTTCAAAAACTACCACTTACCCTAAGGCCAACTGCAACAAGCCTTTACCTAGAATACATCCCTGTCCAAACAAAAAGAGGTTGCCCTGTTCAGGACGGAAGGCCATTCTTAATCTATATTCCTTAAAGATTAAGGTTTGTGGTAGCTGTGGGATGTGAACACTTATCTCCTGAGAACAAATTTCTGGTAGTTCACTGAACAGCGTTTACTGATCACTCATTATTTCAGTCCCTGCACCATTCTCTTACCTCAGTGTTTATTGCATCTTGCAAATGATTGTCCTGATGCTGCAAACATTTACTTAAAGTGCTCACACTTCAAAATAACAATGTTATTTCTTAAGACCTTATGATTCAGACATAGAAACCCCAAAATTTAATTAAGCACAGCTACCAGCTGATGCTTTGCTGAGATTTGTAAGGCTAGTGCACTTTAGTTTGGGGAAGAGAAGGCAGACAAAGGATTTCACAAGGATTACTAAAACATGAAGGGCAGGTGGATAAGTTGAGGGCAAAACCACTGAGCATGACATCCTGCAACACAAAACCCAGGAGCTGCCCAATGCCATTAAGAAACTGGGCTTAACAGAGACCAAAGAAAATAATTTACTTAGTGACACTGTACTGTGGAACTTTCTGCCAGATGAGGTCCTGGATGCAAACATCACCAACAGGTTGAAAAAAAGAGTTGGATAAACTAATGGGCAACACATCCATCAGTGGCCAAGTCAGAGTTGTACCCTCTAACATCCCTAATTGTAATACTTCTGTGTGGTCTTGGATTGCAGAAAGCGGTGGGCTCAGGTAGTCTCCCTAACTAGTTTTTTTCTTACTGATACTCTCTGAGACCTAATAATGGACTATATGGACTTATGGAGTGTTCCAGTAGGGCATTTCTTATGTATTTATGCATATTTACTGGAAATACTGAAACACTACGAGAGGTTCAGTTGGCTTACTGATTAAGAAAAAAACATAAATATCTAAAATTCAGAGCTAGCTTTCTTGTTGCAGCCTTAAATTAGCAACTTCATTCTTTTCTGCAAGTTCTTCCATTAAAATCCAACAGTATTTAATACACACAAAGTTATTTACTGATTTCCATACATTTGTTCCAGTTAAGTACTTAAAATTTTAAATTCATTTTGTCATTATTCTATTTGTATGGAGGGAGAAAATTTCATGCATCCCAGCTATACAGTCTTGAGACAAGTAAAAAAATGGTGACATCAGAACAGTATCTACAGTAGCTACTTTCACAGAAAAATCTGAGAGGTTTGGGCAAACATGTATGGAATCTTAAGCAAGGTCTACAGAAGGACTTCAGATCCTCCCACCCTGCACCAAATACGTGAGTGAAATGGGGTTCCGTTGACTCATTTGCATCCTGACAGGAGTGGAGTACACCGCAGTGGACACCTGACTGCCACACCGTGGGGCAGGTGAGAAGTAAAGCACTGAAGTATGAACAAATGAAACAAAACTTTGTGTGGGTCTAAAATGAATTCCATGATTTGTATTGGTAGACATGGTCTGTACCTCACATCCATGGACTGAACCTCATCCATCGAATCTTCCATGCTGTTAGACTTTCCAACAACAGCTTCCAGCTGAATAAGTCCTGGGGCTGACTTCAGTCCATTAGCAACTACATCTTGGGAAGGGATTACAGGAGCAGCATTTTCTAAACTTTTGTTTTTCAGGCAGGTTGCCAATCCATTGATCTCTATAAAAGGATAGAAATTGTGACAGGAGCAACTTCTTTATTTAAATAGTTAAAAAACAAACCACAAATGCTTTTAAGTTATAGATCAAGTAGAAAGGAAGATTGACAATGCAGTAGGATTCATCTATGACTTACATGATACTGTCAATCCTCTCTTCCACTCTTTTAAATTTGAGTAAACGGGAGAGAGAATGTTTTATCTTTTATGTCATACACTAAATACTTAGTCTGGGGAAGGTAACAAAATACAGATAAATGCCAGATATGTGTATTTTGTTTAACAATTCTTTGAATACATATGCTATTTTTGTAAAGTCAATTACATGTATGATTTTCAGCGATGCTACAAAAAGCTTTCAAGCTCGGTTGTGTGCAAGTATTTTCTACCTACAAAACGTGAAGGTAGATTGCAGCAACCAAACCTACTGGCAGATTGGAACTTCTCATTTACAGAAATGCTACATCAGGTACCGAAATGGAGAAGAAACTTCCTTTTGCTTAAGTGGCAAAACAAAGCAGTCTTCATTTTCTAATATATGCCACTGATGCAAAAGTAGTTGTTCTTTTTGAGATGAAAGCAAAGAATCTGCAATAAGACACAGCGCTCTGCCCGAGATTGCAAAACTCTGAAGACAACTAACTGTGAAAATAGGTTAAAAAAAAATGGCATTTTTTACCTGGCTGGTTGAGGACAAGGGCCTTTGGTTGCCTTTCCACGTTCAAAGTTGATGGTACTTCCAGTTTTGGCTCTTCCTTCTGTAATCAAATAACAAGTCAACTGTATGAAGGATGAAGGACTAACCTTCATAGAACTGACTGGATCCAAAACTTGTGAGACTGCTGAAGGCCATGGGGTGGTTAAATGTCACTGACAGCAAGAGAGGATTTTCTTTTTCCTTTCTAATTAGGCATAGGAATTTATTTAATTGTTTAACATTAAAAAGAAACAGTCCCCGAAAGTAACCAAAGAAACAGTTTCCTTAGTTGAAAACCTGATCACCACTTTCTAGCTGGACACAATTGCCTCATTCTCAATCCTACATTCCTGGCAGGCTTAACATGATAGCTCAGTAACTAATTCATTGGCCTGTACAAAGAAGGAGAATATGCATCACAGCAGCAAACATTACAGCTCCAACATCCAGGAATGAGCTCTTCCCACCTTTCTAGACAGTGAGGAAGGTAAGTCTGCAACAGTTGCATAAAGCTGTTTCTGTAGCAGCAGCCCAAAATAACTGTGACACAGGTACTGAGACACTGTCATTCTGTTCGAAATGCAACTAAAATTTGGGTGTAGAGTGTACCTAAGTATACCTAGTAATGCAGCAATACTCTAGTGTTTAATTTCCACATATGGGTAATAAACCAAAAGAAACCCACAAACATACACTGTTTCATACCTTTATTTCTGGTGTTTCACTCCTCCTTGTTCTCTTCATTATTTCATCTATTCTCTAGAAATCAGAATAAATTGGAGAATGAGAAGGCAGATGGAATATTTACTACCAGAGACTGACAATGGAGAAGGGAAACAAAAAAAAAAAAAAAAAAAAAAAAAAAAAAAAAGAAAACCTTTTCTCTCCTGCCATGACCTCTTCCCTGCCTGTCTTGGAAAAGTGAGAATAAACAAGAAAAAACAGAAAACAAAAGGCAGAAAACACCTGGGAGCTGGCTTTCATATATCACAGCTCACAGAACATGACTTCTCAGTAGATGCAATTTAGAGACAAACATTTTAATACCAGGTGCTTGCAGTTACAAGTTGTGCTCAGCTCTGGAACAAGACATTTATTTAAAACCAACAGCTATTATTTTCATCTAGGTGCTTTTCCAACTATTTCCAAATAGCTCCTTTAAAAATTAGTTAGGTGTCTTGGAATGGAAGAGTAAAATGAAATATCTGACATTATTCTTGTTAGAAATGTGTAAGGCATTACCCTAAAATACCTTCTTTTTATTTCTCTGTTCATTCAAAAAATGAAAAACCTTCCCAACAAACCTTGTCTCTTTGCACTACTGTGAAAGGGAACTATTTCAGATTTAAAGACATTTTGGTTTGGTATTCTAATCTGGAACTGCAACATGCCTTCAGCAGCAGTAAACAACTGGAATATGAAATAACATAGTGTCATAACACATATGGAAAGACTACCTTCTTATAACCAGACAGAGGTTCTGCAGCTGTTCTCTCTTTTCTGCCACAGAGCTGTAGATAAAGCTAATTTATGCGGCTCCAGCCATTTCCCTGTGAGGTGGTGGCCAGACTGCCCTGCTGCCTCTGCATAATGCAACCAGAGACAAGCCAGGTGGGAGAAAACCTGTTTGTTAATCACATTAACTTTCTCCATTAACGACAGGGAGCTTTTGTTGAGTAAGTTTTAAAACAAAGTTATGTTCCTCAATAGCCTGTGATGTTCTGGGTTGGGCGGCAATCCAGGTTTGCCTTGGCAAGCCATTCCCTGTTTGTCTCAGGCATTTAACTTTGTGGGTAGAGGCTAATTCTGTGTTTGTTCAGTGCCTAGTAGAAAACCATTGGCCTTAGGCAATTCCACTTTGTAACAAATTTTGACGTCCATGTTCCCCTAACATGCAAGTAGCAAATACTAAGTTAGGCATAAATATCCATTCAGATTATTATTTCTAGAAACTATTTGGTACTTTCTGGGTTATGTATTTAAACAAGAAATGAAATAATCATCTTGAGAAGCAAGTATCTACCTTCTTCCGCTCCAGTCTTTCTTGCTCAATTTGCTGCATGATTTGCTCCCTTTCAAGACGAAGCTGCTCAGCTGCCTCACGGGCTTTGTTTTCTGCTTCTTCCTTCTAATCAAAATGTACAAAATATGATACGGCCATTATTTATTTCAGGTATATTACCAGATGCTGTAAGTATTTATGTATATATGTATAAATGTATGTATGCATGCATATATAGGTATATAAAGTTTCACATTTGTGTTTGAGATGGTACCTGTTTCTCATATTTGGCCTGGAGCTCTTTTTCTTTCCTTTCCTTTAGCATTTGTTCTTCCTCAGCTCTTCTCCTGGCTTCCTCTTCTGCCTTTTTCCTAGCTGCTTCTTCCTCACGTTTTCTTTCTTCTTCCTTCTTACGAGCTTCTTCCTCTAGACGAAGTCTTTCTTCTTCTGCCTTTCTTTTCTGTTCTTCTCTTTCAAGCCTGCAAAAAATGTAACAGCATGTTTAAAAGGCATGTTCAGCGTGCATTCTCTTGTATGCACGGCACACAATCAGACAATACATGCATCAGCACACATTTTCATGAAAAATGTCAAGATACAGCAAAGAAGTTGAGCATATACTCAGAATTCAGGCTGCTGTCAAGCTTTTATTCCAATCTTATTTTCACTGCCTAAAATATTTCATGAAAAGTATAGTTTCCCTTGAAAAAACAGGTGTGATCAAAGAAGAAGAAAACATTTCCATTCTAGTTTGAATCAGAGCTTGGAGAGTAAAAGTAAGGTTCAATAATAAAAACATCCCTCTTTCACTGTGCTTCACACCCAGAATGCAGGTATCTATAGATAAGCAAGTACTTTTTTCCTTTGTTTCAGCTGAAGATAAACAGATTGGATGAGTAGCAGAAAACAAAGTCCACAAAACACAGTGGTACACTAGAAAGAGTGGGTCTAAATTCCATCTGTATTGTTCCCTGGCCCACTGGGGGACATCACGCTCATTTGTCACCACATGCAAGAGCTTCTTTAACAAGCGATTGTTCTTCTCCTTTCATATCAGGGATTCAGGGCCAAACTGGCAAGCACTGGAGAACCCCCACCCCCATGTTTTCAATAACAACAGACAAAGTTGAATTTAGACATGCAGAGTAAGTGATTTACATTAGGGGCTTGAAGGAAGGGCATGATCTGTTGACACTTGCAACCAGTATCCCATGTGGAAAAAAAACTTAAAAGCTTGCTCCCAGAACAGAGACAGAATTTCACTACTTAGATACGGCAACCTTCCTTATGCCCACACTAAAAGCCCTCAACTGCCTACAACAGAGTTGAGCAGGTTGATTTGCTGAATGATACAATGTCCACACTGCAGTGTAGACACAGGTGAAGTATCTGGATGAGTAATAGTTTATTCAGGCTTCTTAAAGAGGCCAAATTATTATTTTCTAACTTCACTAGTCATAAAGACTGCAAAAGACACTAATGAATTATGAGTCTGAGTTGAAAGAAATTAACACTTACGTGCAAACTCCCACCTTGATTCTAAAACTCCCACAGTTTTAAGCATCTTCAGTGATACAGGTTTAGTTACTAGATAATATTTTTCACAAATCAATAGAGATACCTCTCCCGTTCTTCTCTCTCCTGTCTCTCTCTTTCTTCTTGTTCCTTTTGCAGGCGCGCCTGTCGCCTTTTTTCAGCTAGAATTTTTGCTGCTTCTTCTGCATCAGTTGTTCCTGCCGTGATCTTCCCTAAGATACGACAACCAAGGGTGAAAAGTTAGGCAGGGAACAAAGAGTGCCCAGAACTTCCACATTCACACAGATGCTGAAATGGCCATGGTTCATGCTGGTATGACACCTTTGCATTCCAAAGCACACCTCAGCAAATATGGGATAGGTAAGGGCATCCCTGGATTTCAGCATTTTCACATCCTCATTAACAAGGGGGTTTCATGCATGGGTAACCCTGGTGAAAACTATACATTTACTGGTTCCACTATCTACTTTTACACATTCTTGTAAGCCTACAACTGAGCAGCTTCATGAAAGGAACATGTCATCACTACTTAAAAGCCTCAGGGACCCATGGTATCTTGCAATATATTCTTGCAGTAAGACTCACCTTCAACATTTTCAGTCTTTCCTGCAGAAGGCATGTGTTTCTCTGAAGCCACCTGGCCTGCCTCATCAGTGTGTGCTCCTGGAGATTTTGGATGACTGACATTTTCCTTCTCCTTGTCTGCTTTCTTTTTAGGAGTTTCCTGGTTGAGATTAGAAGTGGCACGATGCTTCACAGGAGAAGCTGGATATTGTTTGGCGTTTTTAGGAGACTGAGGATAAGTCTTTGCAACTGTCCTGATGAGGGAAAACAAAAATCAAAGCAGGCCATATGTTACACAGCTAGGAACCAGACTCCATCTTTACATGTATCATTCCTCTCTCTTGTCTACATAGGAGTATCAGCTGTTTTGCACAATAGTGCATAGAAACCATCTGGATGCAAGCAATCAAAACCTGAAATGGAGGGAACTGATAAGCAAGTGCAAATGATTACAGAGAATTCTCATTTTTAAAGCCCAGTGCTACTGTCCAAGTTGTAGGCAAGAGATACGAAATCATAAACTACTTAGACCAGTTATTTTAGCAACAGACATTTCATAACAATTTTGTCAATATTATTGTATTCAACAGCCCTTGTCAACATTTAAAGCAAAGCTATGGCTGCTGTCTGCAGAAATTACAATGAGTTGCAATGTGCTGCTTTTATCTGAATACCGTCTTGTCAAGCACAGTCTTTTTCTAATAGCATCTGATTTTCCAAAACGGCGCCAAATACTATTGCATACAAAGGTAAAGCCGGGTACCACAAGAGACAGAACTGACCAAACCATTGTACAGTCAGCACTGCTGTTTCAGTTAGTGCTTTTATCAGCACCAACACCACAGGCTCAATGCTCAAAACTCAGCCCCTGCAACATTCTACAGGGCTGCACTTGTGGTGATGGCAACGCACAGCAGCAATGCAGCCAATTGCTCGTTTGGCTGTTGCACACCACAAGTGAAATAACAACTTTGAATTCAGTCCTGGGACAGCAGAAGGACAAAGACAGTTGATATTCACTGAAAATAGGTGCACATTAAAGAGAACAGATTACCAGGAAACATAAAACTACACACAAACACCATTTGTTATTATTTAACACCAGTAACGAGCACTAAATACTTGTAACATTAAGAAAGGCCGGGCTGTGCAACTAAGTAGTATGGAATGAAAGAGATTACAATCTTACAATAATGACTTACGTGAGTCCCATTAGAATAAATAATTCTACACTAAAGTGAACATTACACATGTAGTTTTAACTTTCCTGATGGATATGCAATTATGATACAAATGTATTACCCCTTATCACTTTTTAAATAGAATTATGTAATTGACTAGGTTGGAAAAGACCTTTACGATCAATCATCAAGTCCAACCGTTACCCCAGGACTGCCAAGTCCACCACTAAACCATGCCACCGAGGGCCTCATCTACATGGTTTCTGAACACCTTCAGGGATGTGATTCCACCACTTCCCTGGGCAGCCTGTTCCAATGCCTGCTTACCCTTCCGTTAAAGAAATATTTCCTAATATCCAATCTAAATCTCCCCTTGTGCAGCTTAAGGCTGTTTCCTATTTCATCTACACAATATGGGGTTTCATATACTATGACATGCTTTCTGGACTGCATGCTCATTCTGGCAGACCACAGGCATGAAAAACACGTACAATGGCTAAAAATTAATAGACTGGAGTGGCAAATTTTGTATAGCTCTAACTATAGTATTGTATGGCCAGAGACTATTATAACTTGAACAACATTTGCATTACAGAGTAGACAATAAAATCGAAGTGTCTTTCAACTCTGCACAAATTCATGAATTCAGGAGAAGAAAGGGTTATTTGCCACCATATTATGCTGCGTTTGAAAGAGGCTGAGATACCAGAATATAGAAAGCTCATTCAGAGCTGCCTGGTTTGTGGGCAGGAAGACTGCAGAGTATTGCACCACCCGTACTTTCTTACTCCCACTGAAGAGCCATCAGACTCCAAAAGCCCTTGGGCTGGTGGAATAGTAGCACCCAAGTAAATTTAAAGTTCAGCTCAGGTACCCTCTGCCTGCAGGCCTAGGAGCTCCCTGTCAGCTCAGGTCTTCGCCCTTGGTCCTTGCCTGAGCTAAACCATAGGTAAGCCTGTTCCTGGCCTCTTAACCTGCTCATCCTGACCTGATGTCCTGGCTTGTCCTTGGACCTGCCTCAGTAAGGGCTTTGCTGACTATCACTGGACTCTTGCCATTGCCAGACCTGCCCTGGTCACTTCTATTGTCTGCTGTGGGATGGGGTCCTCTGGGTGAGGTTCCTGTCCTTGTCTGCCCTGCTGTCACCCTTGGCTTCTGGCTCGCTCTACCTTCAGGGCAGCCTGCTGCTCCCTGACAGACACAGGCCTTGGAAGATATGAACAGGCAAGTTTGTTCCCAGGTCTTGTAGAAAACAGCAATGGGAGAAGCCAGTGAGATTGGTTGGTGTTGAACAAACCTGGTTTTAGCACTGTCGTTAGTTTTCTCTTTAGAATATAGTTGGATTCCCAGGCCCTCCAAAAAACGAAGGCAAAGATTTCAAGGCCCCACCTACAAAGGTCTTGTATGCGCTTCACCATTAATTTCCAACTGCATTTCATAAAAATATAATGTGTAAATAAAAAGCAATTAACTTTTTTCTTATTAATCTGACATTTCTTCAAAACGTAGTCCCTTTCTTGCTGTCTCTGGTTTATATTTCCAACTTTACCACACATCCCTTTGCAATGCTTTTTATTTAACTTGCTGTGACAAGAGAAGCAAAACAGACTAATAACTAAGGCTGAGTCATTTTCAGTATTAGCACAGAAGTAATTGTTCTCTAATAAAGACATGACAATCACATTAAAGAGGTGGGTAGGAAGAAGTCTAGTCATAAGAGTTATGTATCTTGCACTGCATAGGAATTAGAACAGACTGGCTGTACAACTTACCTGTTAGACTAGAAATTAAATGAACACTGTTTTTCCCTTTTGTATTTAAAACATATTGCCAACACAGCACCTTTAACAGAGGTGGAATTGTTACTAGAAAGAACACTCCTCCTGGTAGTATTTAAATGATGCTACTCTTCACCAAAAAGGGCCAAACTTAATTGTGAAGACAGAAAACCAGGATTATTAAGGGAAAATGTATACACACTTGTGTAGGAGTCTGCTTAGGTTTAAAAATTGTTTAATTTTTGCCTTGGGAGAAAAGGAAAGGGATGTTATGAAACCTTTGTAAGAATGTGGGAACACAGAAGCGTGCTGATGAGGAACAAAGAATTAAGATGACAAATTGCCGAAGTCCAAGAAGTGGCAGCATGTTTGTTGCCTGAAAGTTCACTCATCTCAGTCGCTGGGTTTTATAGGAGAACACAGAAATACAGGAAACATCTTCCTCCCTCCAGGAGGTCTTAGTTTTCTCACCTAAGCACCCTGTGTTGACATGGGGGCAGCAGCTTGTAAGAAGCCATGCTCATTATGACCTCTATATGCATTTCAAAGAACCCCTATCAGGTCTGAGGACCCACTTGTCCTTAAATCACAATGGTTCTTATTCAACTAAAAGAAGGATGCAAAAGAATGTCTCAGGAAGAGCACAAGAGGGGGTTTGAACTTCCTTTTACTGAGCAGAGAAAATAAAGTACATGTAGTACATGAATCAGAGGTCACATCCAATTTTGTCCACAAACAGCATGGGAGAGAACAGCATGCTTTCTTGAAAAGCCAGGTACGTGACAGGCCACTGGTTACAGCAGTTCCAAAGGCTGACTGTAAATCAGAAATCTGCAGCAATGCCACAGCTGCGTTTTTTTACCCTATCTTTCTTAATTCAAGAAAAGTTTTTCTAAAACCACACTGAGCACTAGCATGTTCTCAATGCTGCTTTCCGAGATTGCTCTGAGTGAAAGCTGTTCCTGGGTTCTGACATTTTTGCTCTACTACCTGTAGTATTTTCTCAAAAGCAGTTTTCTTTCACTTTTAGTTTTGATCTTTTCTAGCCAGGAACAGATTAATTTTCTTCTTCACACTTCCTAACAGCACAAACTAAGCACATGTAACAATATGAGAGATAAAAACGAGCCTTTTGGAAAGCTAGAGTGAGCCACAGAGGAGGAATCCCCTGTGAAGCTCCCAGTGCTGTAAATAAAATATTCTTTGCTCAACAGACTTTGTCCCTGGCTAAAATTGATGAAGTGAGCTTGTTTCTCACAGGTCTACAGGATGGTTATTTTGATAGCTGCATTATTACAGATGTTTTCAAAATCTCCAATTGGCCCATTCTTTGGCTACCTGCTGAAAAAAAGAAAAATCAAAATAATCTTGATCCAATATTGTCCCCATTGTTTTTATCTCTCCAGGGCAAAATAAAGTTCAAGAGTAGTAAATGCAGCATGTATCAAATAATAATCTAAATAAAATCTAAAACTTGGTCACTGCAGAACATAGCAGCTACTTCTGGGAGGAATTCACCACATGTAGACACCTTTCTAATAAATAATTTTTTGCCCCTTTCTCCTTCTCATGTGAGGTAATGCTTTGGCAAAATAATGTAACACTGAGCATTCCATTTTTATTCAGTGGCTTATACTATAGCTTATCTGAAGACACTTAAGACTAAATCCTACTTCCTTGATTCAGTCATGTCCCATTGATTTCAAAGGGACTATTTACCCAAAGACCTGTGAAGGACACAGGCTTTATTGCTTTCACGATCTATAAGATAGGACACTTGCCTATTCTCTGAGGGATACTGCAAGAATAATCTGATTAATGTACAGATCTTTGAAGAGGGAGCATCAGAAAAAAGTTACCAAAAAATGGTATTATTGATCTTGTGAAAGATCTGAAGAACAGGAGCACTTTATACAATCAGTATCCAATAGCAATTGTAAAACTAAAAGATAATTTCTCAATTATCCCAGCTCTCTAATCCATTAACTTTCATCTTTGTCAGCTGATCCATGCTGGATTCAAAGCAAAAATTTTTCGTTTCTTTCCTGTGTGACATTTCTTGATATATTCACCTTTTCAAGTATCTCCAAGCTTTGAATTCTTTCCTTGCTTTTAATTATAGCTCATCATATTTCTGCTTTTCTACCCTTTTCTCCTTTGTAGGTCCATATTTGTTCACTCATTTTTTCTTGGATATTATGTTTTTGGGCTGATCTTTTTTATTTCTCAGTAAAATTTGTACCTTCAAACACTTATATTTTATTGATGTATTACTGAAAATCTATTCTGACATCAACCACTGTCTCTCTTTAGGTTGAAGTTTTATTGTCTTGTTTGAGCCTGTTTCAGTTACCTTACCACGATAAAAAGAGCTTTTAAATTAATAATTAATGAAATAATACATAAAGAAGACAGGCAACTACTGCACAAAACAAGATGACAACTACGAAGAACTAGTAACTAGAACAATGCCAAAAAATGTCAAGCCACATTTTTAAGAAGAAGAAGTCATACAGCTAATTATAACTTAAAGCACTGGCCATACTTGATTCTTTCCTCAACAGCTTTTGAAGTTAAGGTGCTATGCAGGATCACTAACTACTACTGCCATACAATATGTGTTCTTATTTCTTCCAGGGTATTTTTTTGGCCATATGGTGTGCTGGAAGGAGAAAGATTAAACTTGTAAAAGACTGTCAAGTCTGCAGGGAGAACGAGCATTTGCCTACATATTCAGTCACATTAAAAACTGTAAGTTCCACAGTTAATTTTAAATTTAAAAGTAAGATTATAACAATCTAAAGGAAGGTTCCAAAAGCCTCACTGCCTATATCTAAATCCACTGACCAGTCAGATCATCAGCTGGCATTTGAGTTGTATGAAGAAATGTGTCTCTTTTATATAATAATATAACATGGTTATCAGAATGTCTTTTTTAATTTTATTTTAAATTTCTGAGGGGAATTTTTGAGAGTGCTGAAGCAGAACAGTCTTTCTGCAATCAGTAATAAACACGGATTTAAACTCTATTCACTGTATCTCTCGTAAGGTCAAGGAGGGTGTTCTAATTGGGCCACGCTAAGATTAAATACTCAGTAATACATTTCCAGCAGTGGTCAGAATCAGACTCTCTTGAGGAAGAGAAGGAGGGAAGAAGAAAAAAAACGATAACTAATGTGGTTCACAATCACAGAGAAACCCACAAGTAGGCTTTTTAATTCCTCCATGCAACATCTGCTTCTTCCTCTAAAAACAGTAGTTTATATTCCTTATAGGCATGAAAATACTGTACTGTAAAAAGCTTCTCATAATTTGCACCTTGGAAAAAGAGTCTCCACCTTTGCCTCACCTTTTATGGAAATTAGTGCTACAAATTAAGACGGGGCATACTTTTTTCATGAATCACTAAACACCTGTTTGTTTCACAGAAGCTTTTCCTTTTTAGCCCCCAGATGTCTCTATGATGAGCTATACCAACTTTTCCAGTATCTGCTATCACAAACCACTTTGCTCTCAGAAATCCATTTCCCACCAATCATTTTACTCAACTAAATCTCTTTTGGTATGTCTTTTATACTGGCTGAGTGAACCGAAAGATGCATTCTGAATGGGGAATATCAGTACTTACAGAATAATACACATTTTTATAGCTCCAACTTTTCTCTACACAATTTGGATTATCCCACTGAAAACTGTAATGGAAAAAAAGCTGACCGCCATTAACATATCGTATAATTCTATTTTTTACTGAATTTATGTAATTCATAACCTGATGACATTATTGATGTATATTTGAGAACTTTTAGCCCTATATTATGACCCAAGAATTGCAATTTCCCAGTTGCATGCAAGGGCTTGTCTAAAACAGAAAGAACACCCAGAGTCACAGGGTTTCCTTTATTTTGCCTGGCACTAGATTCGCACACAATATCATCCTCTGTTAAAGGCTATGCGCTCGGAGCTGAAACAGAAAAGGAACACCAGCTAGATTCTGAAGCAAAAGAAATGTGTGAGAAAGGTGCTCATCAAAGACTGGTGCGGAACATGGCCAGGTTCAGAAATCAGACGGAGATAATTTTCAAGACAGAAGTGGGACCCGTGAACAGGGTTTTGGGGGGCAGAAAAAACAAACCCAAACAAAAAAAATCAGACAACTACTATATACCATGACTACTTTAGTATACTTCTGCATTTGAGCCAGGCTTAATATCCTGCTCTAAGAAAGCTGAAGACACATTTGCTTAGACTTGTGACTTGCAAGCTGTGGTACACGGACTACAGTTTTGGGTGTCTGCAAAAGAAAACTAAAAAAAGCCACTCAATTGCTAGTAAGCCCAGATATGCTATAGGTCCACAAACTCTGCATTAAAACAAAAAAACCTAAAACCAAAATACCCACAAACAGTGAAACACAAAAAAAAAAATCCCCCCACAAAAAAAAAGCACAAGAAGCAACAAACCCAGACAGGTCTGCAAATAAGCAAAGATTAAAACCGATGGTTTAGATGACGCACAGTTAAGTACATTTATGGAACCAGATGGTCATGCCAGCAATAGGAAATGCATATATTAAATGCTGGAGTTTCTAGGTAGTATCCATGTTCTGTGCATTTCTGCACATTAGGCAGAGTTTCTGCAAAACCAAATAAAACAAAAGCATGTTTAAATGTTAAATAAAATCTCACATGAATTCCAAAATGCACCACAATAATTTCAAAAGACTGAGAAAAGGCAGAGAAGTGTCACTAGTGAGCACTAACACAATCTTATATATATCTGTTCATCTACATATCTCTCTCCCTCTCTCTCCATCTGTATATGTGTGCGTGTACAACTAAAATTAACCAGATTTTGTACAACACTTCAAGGGAAGTTCCTCAAGAATCTATGTCTGTTCCTAAAATGCTCACAGCATATTACACTGCTAATAAGAAAGGCATACTTAGGTGTCGCAGGTGATGCAGATCTTCTGGACATGGCAGCAGGAGAATCGGACCTTCTTAGAGGAGATCCCATGCCAGATGATGAACCAGGTGTTGCAGGTCGCTTCTCTTTCTTTATCTTCTCAGTCTAGAAGCACAGTCCATTTTAGTTTCCATAATTTGGACCAACACATGAAAAATATATTTAATCATGTTATTAACAAGATGGCACATAAACAGATTTGCATAACATACATTTAAGGTAAAAGTTTTTTAAACACCAGCTCACAGCTGAGCTGCAATAGTCTTTTATTTTATATAGACATAACCTCCTCCAGTGTTTTGCATGGACACTGTATACAAGTTGCAGGTACGTAACACCACATCAGAGCCTCTCCAAGAGTTCTTGGGAAGGGTGGCAGCACTGGGTGGAGTTTTCTAAATCGTCTATGTGCTCCTGCAACACATCTTGGACCTGATGAGTCGTGCACCCAGGCATCTTGCAGAAATGCTGCTAGGTGTGACACTGTGAATCACACCTAACAGAGACACTACACAAATCTTTAGCTCCCAGCTTTGGTCCTCTCACTTGCATCTAATTTACATGGCATGAATCCCCCTACTATTAACTATTACAAGACACAGAACCTTATGTGAATTTTACAGCCCTAGCATAGATTTTTTTTAAAACATGCCTTATATTGTGTAGTCTCAGTGAGGGTGAATGATGTGCCTTTTGCTTTTCTGGAAGCTACAGTGGGTCAATAACGAATCTTTAAGCAAATGGCATTAAAAATGTCCACAGAAAGAGTTAAGCAATTGGTATAAAACCGAGGCATTGCCACTTGGCAAGTTTCTGAAATATGTGAAGCTTGCTAATTAACCAGCAAGACTGGTCATACTCAGTAGAGATCCTATTTGTCATCCCTGTTCCCAGAAGTTACAGGCAAGTCCAGAAATGCAGTTCAGTGCCAGCAATCTCAGTTCCCTGAAAATAAAGGTGTTGCTGTTCCAATTACCAGCACTCAGCACTGATTTCCAGGAGGAGGAAGATATTAAAATGCTGCTAAACAGGAGCACAAAAACAAGGCTTACTTTCTTACCACTGTTTCTTAGAACAGGGTTAGCACTTTATTTTTATGAATGTAAAGGGAAAGATAACAACCAGAAACCACACCAGTTTACCCTGAAGTGAAACCAAAACCACTGCAAACCCACCTGAGTAACTTCAGCTGCAGCCGCCCCTTTCATGGCATTGGAAGTGGAGGGTGAAGTTGCCTTCTTTCTCTCGGTGCTTCGGGTGGGGGAAGGCTTGTAGGGAGATTTAAGAGGACTAGCTGGTGCTACACGAGGACAGATATGGAATACTAAAGAGTTATAGTACAATAGCAAGAGCAAAAGGGAGCATAGACAGAGGAAGTAAAGGAGACGAGAAAACAGCATACTGTTATCTTTATAATGGTCAAAGGTAGTTTTCAAAGTTTTCCAAAAAGTGTTTCAAAAGACTGCATTATTCAGCATGGTCCCACGTCTACTAAAAATGCCCCGACTCAAAGAACATTGTATAGGATTTTTGTATTTTTTTTAAGTTACCTCTAAAATATCATTCTCTTCTATAAATTTTGAACAACCTGACTGTGAAGTCCAGCTTCCTTTGCATATGACAGAGTAATCAAACAATTCTAGCTGAGAGACTTTATAACAAATACTGCAGAACAGAAAGGGTGACAGAAGTGTAGGGATTTTTAAGAGCCTAAACATGGCAAATACCTTAATTTCTTGTCAAAATAATACTTAAACAAACCCTACAAAAACAATCAGCCCCAAACCTAAACTAAATGCTGCTGTAGGTATTTCAGTTATTATCATTTATGGTAAGACATCAGTTTGAGTGTGACACATGCGTTACAGCTTGCAGGGCAACTCTTTCTGGGTATTTTCTCTTTATTTGCAATATGAACAGGATTTTTTAAAACTGGAACATTTTACCTCCATTTTTGTTCATATTGCCTTCTAAGATGAAACTTTCACATACATATAGAACATACAGAATCAACAGAATATATGCTTTTTTAATAAGACAGACACTAATTGTAATCATGTGACAGTGCATTTCAAATCTTATTCAACTGAGGTCAAGAAGGATAATGACTTTGGAAAAGCAGTAATTTTGTTCAAATATAAATGAGTATTCCAATATTCCTCTTCATATTCCAATTCATATTTCCAATATTTTTTATTTTTTTTTATTGGGGGCAGCCTTTTTCGTGAGATATTTTAAGTTTATCTAGACCCGTGTATTCTTTGACTGACTTTCCAGCAAGTTGGTGAAAGTTCACTGACTATTAAGAAAATTGTTCTGAAACGTGAATGTTCCTCAAGATTAGTATTTTTACTTCAAGCGTAAAAAAAATTTAATTCTATGTGTCCAATAACAACTGTTTCCCCGAGTATCTCAACTGAGAGTGACATTAATAATGCATTGCCCTAGAGAAGGAGTCTTAAATTAAGGGTCCTTATATGCAGGAGCGGAGCAATTTTGACCAAAACAATGTGATAAGGCACAGTATGAGCTCTTTAAAAGGTAAAGCCCTCTTCCCTCTTCAGGAAGCTACTTCAATGGAGAGAAGAACACAACAAACGGGAAACCTCTCCCTTGACCCTTCTGCTGGCAACTACTGACAAAACTGTCCATTGCCACTCTGAGTACTGATGCTGTTTGCAACCTGTGCTACACCCTGATTGCCCTGGGAGGAAATGACAAGAGGATGCTAGTTCAGAGGGCTATTCCCAGAATCAGTGCTCCTGTTTTCAGCTCAAGCAAAAAGCAGTCTGCAGGCCAAACTGTATCTGTGTCAGCCATGCTGGTGTGCTACTTATAGATCCTGCTGGGAGTTTGCAAACAAAACCAGTGGGGAAGGACAGGGAGAGTCCTATTGATTTCAAATACAACATGGAAACCAACATCTATGCCCCAGCAATTCACCTCGTATTTTTTATCAGAATATACTGATCTAATTCTGGGTTGGCTTTTGTTCAGTCTTAGCAGTAGCTGATCCCTGAGCAGTAAGTAAACTAGGAATTTTTTCATGGGCCAAGACTATATGACAGTATTTCTGCTCCCAACAGATACTGCTTATAATGTAAAAGAGAAATAATTTTAGAACCACCCAATATCAATGTCCCTTTGCACTGCAACAAAGAAGTAATGCACAAAGGGAAGTAGGCTTGCTTTGCAATTGATTTTCAAATAGCTTTGTATTAAAAGCACAGATGTAGAACCTGAGCCTATTTCAGTCATGGTCTACGAAAATACTTACCATAAAGATGACCAGTCTTTTACTGTCTAACTAGTTTTATTCTGAAATAGTGTTTCCTTTTACAGACAGGCAGGTGGGTGTGGGGTTTGGGGTATTTATTTGGGAGGTTTTTTGGGGTTTTTTTTTGTTGTTTTTGATAAAAGTAAAACCAGCTGTTAAACTTTTGTCCTTGTTTCAGCAAACATTAGTGTCTACTTATAAAGCTATACCTGGTCATACTCTGGAACTCAGGCACTAACCTAACTAAGTATTAGCTTGACTAGAAACACTAGTTTTGTAGATATTTGCAAAATAAGGGGTTTATTAAGACTGTCATTTAAAGATTGGAACAGTAACTATCACCCCTTAAAAAGAACAATAACTTCTGCACCTGACACCTTCATATCAGTATCTGTTTTTTCCTCTAAGGAAATATCATTTTGTATGCGCATATACACATATACAGAGAGAGAGATATATATAGAGATATATATGTAAAAATACACACACAGCCACACAGTTAAAGGCAAGAAGTAATTTAACAGCAAAGAATTAGAACCCTGGTAAAAATAATTAAGGCTTAAATGGTGCACTGGGACTTTCGTTCTACATACTGTCTGGGTATGAAAGGGGATAACATTAATATATCAGATAAAGCCTCTGAGAGGTGTCACATGCTCATTTAAAAACCTGTTTCTTAAATGAATATATTCAATTTTCCACTCACGTAGGCTTTAGTGATTTTGTTGATTAAATTTTTTGTCTGTTTTTAAAAAGAACATAGTTTTAAAAAAAAGACATCCCAAACAAGACAGATAAGATGATGTGCAGTGCTATCAAGAACAACCTAGTTCATTGTAAGTGCTGTACTATCATGTAAATTGTCATTTGGTTCACAGTACTCCATTTCTTTCAGCAACTAGTCAAATGCAACCAGAACCATACCTTCATGGTTTCAAAGTGAGTAGTTCACATTTTTACCTGGATTATTGTACTCAGAAAGCATTAATGTACTTCTGCTTCTGGCTAAAGATGACTGTGTGGGAGTCAGCAGTCGAGAAACAATAAAGTTTTCCATTGGACTAAGATGCATGCGGTGAGCTGAAGGATGGAAGCAAATAAAATAAAATTCTAAATACAAACAAATAAAAAAATGTTACACTAAACCAACAGAAACAAAATGATGAAATGATTAAATGAAATAAAAAAAAAATCTTGAAGTGTTTGAGATTTAAAATATTTAAAGGCAACTTTCATTCCCTCTAAAAAAAAAAGATGTTTCTAGTTTCTCCATCACTTTAAATTATTTTCCCACCTGTCCAATAAATATAGTAATGTTAAGACCACGTTGCACTTTGTTCTTACACAAAGGGAGATGCTATTCTGCAAAATGGTTGCTTTCATGACTCAGCATGAAAAAGGTTTCTCTTCTTCCCCAGTAGAGAAGGTGAAACACTTGGTGTAACAGCGCAGCTACTCACTAATGTGCCAACCATACCGGGACTGCATCTAAAATTTGCAGTCTCACCGAATTACGTAAGTCTCATTTATACGATAGGCCTGCATTCCTTCCTAGTCCATAAATGTGTCAACTATGTAAGACATATTTATAGATGTTCCTGTTACATGCATATGTATACAGCCATCTATCATAATAACCTCAGAGCTACTGATGAGTTTTTATTAAGCAATTCAGAAATGAAAGTACCTTTTCTTTTCATTCTATAAACAAGTCTCCATTGGCACTTATTTCATCCAATACATATTTTTTTCCCTCATTAGTTTAAAAAGTGAAAAAAAAAAAAAAAAAAAAAAAAAAAAAGGAGGGGGGAAGAAAGGTTAAAAACAAAAAGAAACCCACAAAACAAATGAAAGAAAAAATCCAGAGTTCACAGCGGAGTAAACCCTTCAGTCCTCTGTAGTGTTTAGTAAGCACTAATCCTGCATGAAGATGATCATCTTTTGTGGAACCCCTCATGGATCAGATTTTCAAATCAAATTAAAGGCCTCTACAAGTCTGGTCACCAGACTGAAGTGTCCCAGGTGGCTCATTGGACATACTTCCGCGCATGGTACATCCCCTGTCTATTGCTGAGCCACATGCTTGGTTTGCTTGTTTTTCCTTATTTGGCTAGAAGATCACAGTTATAGGGAACTGCTGCAGTCACAGCATGTGCTCACTTTGCTGGAGTATCAAAAACTGAAAAAGAATCAGTTAAAAAGCCCACAGCATTTCTTGCTGGACCAGGCTCTCCAGCACAGCAGCAGTCTTGGGACAGGCTGCGGAACTATTTTATTGTATTAACTTACAACCCCTCAAATATTCTTTTAGGTCACAGACATAAGCAAGTTACATAGCTATACGGACAGTAAGAAGTGCTTTAAGCAGAAGGAGAGTTTATGCTGGCAGGAGACCAGCACATTCACTTGCCTCTGTCGGGGGAATGTGTTATGGCCGCTGTGGAGGAGGAGAGGCGCTTACTGATTGGCGATTCCATTTGCTTTGGCAGATTCATTGTAGAAGCTGAAAGTTTGTCACATGCTGCAGAGAGACGCATTGAAGATATTTGTATTCACATCATAGTATTGATAAATGCTCCAAATTAACCTTGCATTTGTACTTGTGGCCCTTGCCCCTGATCATAGCACTGGATGAGGCATGACATAAGCTCTTCCTGGCTGCTGGAGGATCACCATTTTATAGAATGTATGCTGGGATGCAACTTTTCTGCTTGTGAATTTCACATTCCAGTTTTACAATAGCCTATCTTTTGTAATGCCACAGGCAAATAACTATGTATCAGATACTAATGAGTGAAGCCATTCTGATACAAGATATTCAATGCCAGCACAAGCAGAAAGTTAAAGAAAACAAACTGCACACATGACGACTCTGAACTCCTAGTTTCCATTCCCCCTCCCCTCTACTTTCAGTCTAGAAGAGCTAGGGTGGACCTCAGGTATTACTCCTATACAAAAACGAGATAAGCAACATTTGTATGTTTGCACAATGAGAACTCATTGTTTCAACGACTGATGTGGCACCAGCTGTTTGGCTTTATCTTTTTGTGCTCATACTACCCGAAGGGTTTTAACTATTAGACAAAATCTGTTTGAGCACAATACCTATTTCCTACTTTAGCATTCAACTGCTAATGTTCAACTGAACAACAGAAAAATGTTATTCAAGTATTACTACAGTGTACTAGTATATGATGATCACTGCATGATACTCAGAAGCTAAAAGCGTAGATGCTGTCCCCCTTAAATTTTAATCTTACTTCTTTGGAAAACAAAAATATTTTCAGCTAGACACATATATGTGTCCCTAATTCAGCAGCCCCTAAGTTACTGCATTGCCTACTACATTTATCAAAACATTGCCCCAGTGGGGTCTGTAAGAATTGCCTCCATCTCTGACAGTAAACAATACAACTTTCTACATTTGCCTTTTCAAAAAAGCTTGCATAATGCTGGTGTGCTGCAAAACATCAGTTGCACATCCAAATCTCTTCCTACATGAGCACAACTAGTACAAAAATTTGAATCTGTTTGCACAGAAATAATAGTTCTGAGAAATCATGGGCAGAACAACGTTTACTGTGCATTCTGCAGGAATAACAGCCAAGCCTAGCTCCTCCTTTGGGGGGAGACATGGAACCGAGTTCTTAAAAGCACAGCTAAGGACATTTGCAATCAAAATCAGAAATCCTATATGCAAGCCATTCTTCATTTTGGAGGACTCATCTACCTCACAGTCTTCATGTCAGTAAGGGAAAAAAAAACAAAAACAAAAAAACGACTGAACAATATAAAGGAAAAAAAAAAAACCAACAAAAAAAAAAAAAAACCCACAACCCACCATGGTTGCTTAAACAAAGTCAACTACTTGAATTTGTTACAAATACCAGCCTGGCCAAAATCTGCTTCAGGAGACTGAAAGCACGGCTGTTTAAACTAAATTTGCTTGTTCTTAACATATTGCAGAAAAAAAGCCCTTGAGATGGAAAATGAGGACTGCTCTGATGAAACATGGTCTGGGTAACACATTTTCTCTTCGTGTGCAACTGAAATTTTTTTCAACAGCACCTGCAACATGTCCATTAGAACTGTCAAATAGATGTGTAATTATATTTGCACACACACAAACACAGAATTAACAGGGATGAGAATCTGAGCGGTAGAAGTTTACAGTTAGTGAGAAAACCATGAAATGCCTCTACAGTGCTGGATTGTGGCAGGCATGCACTGCTCCACCATGGCAAAAATAAAAGGAAATTAAAAAGACATTTGGTCTATAACGGTAAAGGTAATGCTGTAGAGTACCAGACTGAAATAATAAGAAAACAGTGGTTAGGAAGGACAAGATCAGTGGATGGATCACAGTGATTAGAACAGTTATAAACAAGACACGATGGTATTGAGATTCTCTGAAATACCATTGAGGGAATCAGCAGGAGCAGTAGAGGTCACAGGGTCTGGAGGAAGGGTGTTGGCAGCTAAACCTAGAACAGGGGGTGGGGTATTTTCTGAATCACCTACACAGCAGAGAAATCAGAGCAAAAAGAGGTGAAAGAAATTATTGAATAAATTGGGGGAGCTGGAATTAAGCATAAACTGCATCACAAAGACAAACTGGTATCCTTCTCAAAATGTAAAAGACTTCTTTTATTACCATATATAATTTCCTGGCTTTGTTGATGGCATACTGTGAAAACTATGATGTGAAATTGAGTTTGTCTTTTAAGAGTTAAGTATATTTACACACTGTTCAAATATATGTCAAATTTCATCATTACCCAAACATGCAAATTTTTTCACCATAACATCAGTTTATTCGAACCTGACAAATTTAAATAAAGTACATGATTTAAACAAAAAACATGCATCTTTTTGAAATATAAAAGCAGTACATGACTGATTGCATAATAAAAAGAATTTGTTTGGAAGCCAAATCAAAAAGAGCAGCAACAAAAAGTATGTGGGGGAAAACCACGAAACTATTTTAAACTGCACATGCTGCACAGTCATCTAGAATTTCCTGTCAGGCTTTTAGAAGTACCAAACAAAAACAGATCATCTTTTGCAAAGCTCAGACAACATTCAGTTCTTTGGTGAATATTATATTTGCTAACTCTGTGTGTGGGAAGACAATGCAGGAGAAGAGAATAACGGAGAGAGCATAAGTTTTAATTGTAGCATTTAGCATCCTCCAAACAGATTCTGGTTACTCTATCAAATTGAACAGCATTCCTAAAGTTAGGAGTGACCTTTTTCCCCCAGAAGGTATTAGGGAGAGGAAGCCTTTACAAGCAATTACAAAGCATTTATTCACGCCCCAAGGCAATAGCTCCTACAGTACCACCCTAACTATAGAATGCATCATCCTTACTATCTCCACAACCTCATGCATTTTGCACTTCAAGATCTGCAATGCAGGCAGCCTGTTTCACTTACCATCTCTCCCTCCTGAGCCTGCAGCCAGCGCTCCTCCCCACGACCATCGCTTCTGCTTCTGTTCCAGCTGCTGGCTGCGTTCAAGGGACCGACGCATCATGGCTTCTAAACGTTCCTGGTTATATTAGTGCAAAACCAGAAACCAAATCTGAATCAGTTCTTTGGGGTTTTTTTTTGCCTCTTCCTGAAACCATACTAAAAATACACGGTTTCCCTGTTGCTCCACACACAATGATTACAGAAACTTGCTTGCAATGTAAGAAAAAGGACTGAATAAAGAAGGTACCAGCATGCTACCTACCTCCAGATATGTGTATCCTTTGTCTGCAAGCCACTGAGGTCACTATAGAGGCCTAAGTAAATAACACAGGTTGCATCACTGCCTAGCATCTGCTCCTGCTGGTGAGGCTGCTGCTGTGCTCCGGACTTAATTTGTATAAGAATAATGCTCGACAAGCATTAACTCCTTCTTGTCTATGCAGACCTCAGGAATTTTTTCCCATCCCTTCCTGAGCACAGCTAAATTGCTGCAATGCCAGTGGCTCCTCCTAGCCACGCAGATAAATGATCACTTCAAACCCAAAGTAGGTTACTTTGCAGGATGCCTAATTTATTTATTTATTTTCACAGAAAGTCTCCTTTCTTCCACTACATTCTTTACAGTCAAGGCATGTAAGAGCTTGTGATTTATTTTATTCTCCCCTAGTATATACTTTTGTGCATGCTCAGATTGTGTTCTTCAAAAATGTGCTTTTTTTTCCTGCTCCACACCCATGTTCTTCTCTATGGCTTGATGAGATAGGATTTTCAGATGAACAAGAACAAGATTTCTTTCCCTCCCCAGATTCTGCTTTTAACTACCTTTAGTCACCTTACTCCCTTCTCCACCTCCTTCTAACTGTCACCCAAAGACCTCCATGCAAGTTTTGTTCCTACTTTCTTCTTCTGCTAGTTTCTCTGTTTTTTTGCTGTGGTGCTGTTCTCTGCACCTTTTCCTTCTTTCAAGATGACAGAACCTGGTTCTCCCCCACCCACCATTCCACCACCTACCAGACTATTCCTTTCCTCCTCTAAGCACCTCATTCGCATCTGGCAACCTCTTCACCTTCACATTTCAGCAGCCCAACCCCTATCATGAAAGATGAGTCTATTCTTGCTGCCTCCCAACTCCCGCCCCAATGGTTTTCAGCCCTTTGATCCTCTTAGTATTTTTGGTCCTATTACTTACTACACCTTTGCTATGTCCTTCTGTTCTAGTATAAAACTCCTACTCTATCTACTTCAAACTGTCTCTGATGGAGCAACTTCAGCAGACCAGACCCTAACATCAGGCACCTCCAGCAACTACCATGGCTGGAACTTCTATGCATGTACCTGTAAACTTTGTGTTACCTTCCTGGGGCTCTGGGTATTGTTAATGGCTTTCTACAACACCAGATGCCCTCTCACCATCTGATGATCTGCAATATATTTTTGTGTCTTCAACATCTTTGAAGAATCTCTTCTACTTCCATGATTTCCAGTAATTTGTTTCTGGCCTCATTTTTATTACCTCATCCAACCCTGCTACCAGTTATCCATCAGTTTCAACAGCAAGCCACTACCTTTCATCTTGAAGCTCTCTTAATTTTACTACAAATAACTTGTACCATAAAGAATTTCATTACATTACCCTCTGTAGAGTGAAAAAAGGCAATTCTCACATACCCTTTCTATCAGTTCTCATCTCCCCTGTCCCTGTTGCCTTTCAGCCAGGGGACCCACCCTGCTGTTAAAATTTCTGCTGCCATCTCCAGAAAGAAGTTCTTTCAATCATGTGTTCTAAACTCTCTCTTTAGTTTTGTCTCCCTTCTGTCTTTAGCTCATGTTCTACCAGGTAACATCATTTAAAGACCACTGAAATCAGGCAGCTGTTTCCTTTCCCTCACGCCCCATTCCCCCACCTCCTTCTGTCTGGTCAGTGCCATCAGTATCCAGGCACACAAATGCACACTCTGCCTCTTTCCTCCTTTTTCTCCCTACAAAGCAAATACACGAAGCAGCACAAAGCAAAAGCATAGCCTCTTCTGCAAAAGCACACAAAACTCCCACAGTTTTGAACACTCTATCACTTCTTGTCCATGTCTTGGGTATGAAAAGAAAGCAATCTTCCAGTGTCTGCAATCCAAAGTCACTCCCTCTGATTTAGTTTGCTACAGTATTTCTTTCTTCTCTTACTATTTGAAGATGCAATTTTCATGCTTAAAACCTGTGTGTGCTGGCTCTTTACTTTTAACTTCCCACCACCCAACATTAATGTAATTCTGATTGAGTCCCTTTTCTGTACTCAACTCTTTCCAAACCTCAACTATTTCATCACCAGTTTTTCTCTGCAGACTACTTCTTTTCATTACTTTCTTCTACTATGCGTCTTGCCCCAATATACCTTTCTACCCACACTCTTTTGAAAGTCACCCTCCCATTTCTTTCTCATTAAAGTATACACTTACACAGAATCTTTCTTTCCATATCTATATGAATATTGTTAATCAAAAAAGACAAGATGAAAGCAGTCAAGTTTCAGCTATCCAGGTAAGTTATGTTTGAGTTGTTGGGGTTTTTTAATGCTGCTTGCAGCAAGGATCAGCAATATTCCATAGTTTGCAAACCACAGAATACACTTATACCACCTACTATGAAAGTGCTGTTTCAAGAATAAAATGGACGATGAAATAGATTAAGGAAATTAAATTATTTTTCATACATATTTGAAAGCCCATGCTACCTACAATCTGATGCTGAAATCTTCAATTACATGATGTGGAGAGGATCATTCATTTTCATTTGCTATGAGCCCTTAATTAAAGCACTACAGAACATAATTATTAAATGCCATTAAACCCTGCAGATACGGCTGAGATAAAAAACAATATGAAGGCCATCTTTCACAATGAAAGGATAGTTATTTAGAAAACATTTTAAGTTAGCAAAAAACTAAAAAGCCAAAGAAAACAACGGAAAGAAAACAAAGAAAACATGGAAGCACAGCATAAACAACTCATACATGAATAATTTGGTCCGGGATGAAAACTAAACAAGACAAAGCATTCCTTCATCAGCAAACAATGCCTATCAAACTATGGATGTGATCCTCATTTGGGAACTTTGACAGCTATAGATAGAACAAATAATCTCTATGCTAAATAGGAAGCTTCTGCAAAAAATTGTAATGTACAAGCTTTGCACATAGGTTAAATTAAAAATGAGTTAAACCATAAAGAGAGAGCCATCTACTGATAGTATCTAAAATATACATGTTACTTTCCAAAATCCATAGTTACTCATCCAGGTTTTCCTCAGACTAAGCAACAGAACAAAAATTTGCACTGTCTGAATTAAAACCAAAAAAACAACAACCAACCAACCCCCAACCAACCCAAAACCCCATAGTGAGAATACCAGTAATTTCACTGAAGTACTTTCCTTTTCTCTATGTAAAACATGATACAGGTTTGAAAACAAGGAAAAAATTAATTTTACAAGTACTATGACAAAATAATTTGTGCAAACAATTCTAAATCAATCTACCTTACCTACCATACAAACACCTAGAAGACCCCTACACATCTTCTCCTCTTCACTTTAGATATTCATCAGCACTGTATGCAAGTAGCTCACTGTTCGTTAACATTATCCATTGGCTCTTCCACGTAGCAACAAAAGAGCTCTGCTATGTTCTATTCAAAGAACACATTGAAAAGCAACATAGAATTTTAATTTAACTACCCTTCTGAGCAGAATTTCTGCTCTCAACCAATTACAATTACAGGTGTGTATTAAGCATGTGTGCAAACAACAACATAGAACAATAAAGGCTCATCATAAAGGTATGTGGGGAGCGGCGGCAGCAAGTAATGGTGGAGGGGGGAGCAGAGGACCATCAGTGTTGTAATGAGGACTAAACTCTTCCCATATCCACTGCACAGTAAATTGAGAGACCTCTTGTGTAGCAATTTCAGTTCATAGCAAAATCTTTGTGCAACTGAATTCAACGCAGTATATGAGTTGCCAAAATAGGTTTGGAAAGCAATTACTAGTTCCATATATTATAATTCACAATTTTGACTCATAATAAGTAATAAATGCTGTAACATCTTGGGAGTTTTTAACTCTCTTGTGTTTAAGTGCAAATGCAACAAATAGTGCATGTGCACCAAAGCAATCTTTCCAGGAAGCAAGTGTACTGGCACACTGGCCAGGGCACCACAACTCCCCCTGTCCTCCCCATCCCCCTTCAGGTGTGGGAAATACAGGTTTGAAGCTCTTCCAGTAAAGGTCTCAAATGTCCAGAATGACTCATGAGCAGTGAGTAACTTGCAATGCTCAGGGAGCTGCAACTTCATCAACAACCTTTCTCAGACCTCCACTGCTACTATGCATATGGGATTTGATGGGGTCATCAGAAGAGCTGGGGGGGGGGTGGGGGGAGAAGGGAAGGTCTGGACAGATCCATTAGTAGGACTCAAGCGGAATTCAAGAAACAAGGAAATGACAAGTAGGAAGTCAGGAGGTGGTGATGTCTCCTGTTCCCAGTTTCCTTCTTCCCTCAACCTCTCCTGTTCTACAGATTATTCCCCTGTGTACCCTCCCTCCCCTCAGAAGCTCTTGGATTTTTCTTCCCACCAGGTCTAATCCATCCCCAAACAAACAAGAATCCTCTCCTGCCCTCCTGCTCACTTAACCTTCTCTCAGGTTCTTTAACCTGGGGGAAGGAGAAGGAGGAAAGGGAAGGGAAAGGAGCCAGACCAGGACCTGCCATGGTTCCCAAAAGGCTTTGGACAGTTTAAACTTGAAGGATCAGCTCCGTCAGCAGAGGTAGAAGTGGTATTCGTATTATGACCAAACACTTGGAGGCAGCACTTCTCGCCATTAGAGAAGTCTCCCATCACATGTACAGAGTGTTGGGAAGCTGTAACAGGTTTGCTGATGCTTGGGAGAAACATCACCATGTGCTCAGCCCCTTACATCCATCTCTGGACAAGTGCAGGAGGCCACTACAGGAGGTGGGCTCCCCGTTGAACAGACTCTTTGGGCCTGACCTGGCACAGACTTTCTATGCCTGACAACCCTGCTTTTATTCCTCCAGAACAGGCAAACCATGTAGGCAGGGAAAGCAGGCAGTTGCTCACTCTTCCTACACCTCTCCCCCTCCCTGCCTGCTCTGACACAAATTTTGAGGCCAGGGTTTTGAAAATTTTTGTACTTGCCATTTCCCTTACAACCGCCATAGAGGGGATCAGTCGTGCCTAGCTGCAAAAGGTTATGACAGCAGGAAATACTGGGGAAGGAGCACAACAGGTCAATGATGTTACTACAGGAGAGAGACCTACCCTTTGTTTCCAGTTTTGCCATTTTTCTTACCAAAATTTGAAACAAACCACATGACAAAATATTTAAAAACGCATTCTCAGCTATTATGCAGAAGCCACAATCAGTATGTTATAGCTGAAAGAGGAATGGCAGGATATAATCTCATCAGGTTAAAGCGAAAAATCAATTAAAAAAACCACTCAATGGACAGCAGTATTTTATTTTGATCCCTTGCAGAAGAATTTTACATCTTTTGGAAAGATATTTTGGTCAAAAGGTGGAGTGGCATATATAAAGGAAGGTTACGAACTGCAGATTTCTAGAGGCTTTTTATCTAGAAACTAGGGAAATATCTTCTTTTGGCTCTTTTTTTCTCTTTAAACCACTGCCCTCTTTTCCAGAAAACATTAATTCTTTATCAGTTGCAGTAGCAGTGCTAGTGTTTTCTACAGAAAGTCATGTGGAGAGAGACACACACACTGTATTCAGAGATCTGCAACAGAAACTGGACTCGCTAGAGCAAAAAAGAACCTTAAATGATCTCAGCAGGGAGAGTAGAAGAACAGCACAAAGATGCTTCAAAAGATACATGCATAATTCTGTTCTGTGCTAGAATTTTGAGCCTAGATTCTTCACTGCTTGAAGTAAGAATTTCTGATTTTATGTCACTGAGGAAAAACAAAACAACACATTTTCATAAACATTATTTCAGTTTCAGGGATAGTAAACAAACACTAAGAAAAATCTTTCCCTTTTATGGAAACATTCATCTTTAAAAACTACCTTCTGGAAAGCTGGTGCTTTATCATCTGACAGTCAGAGTCCCAGATATGTTACCATAAATACATGACTATTGTGTGAGATCAGACAAAAATCAAGAGACCGAAAAAAAAAAAGCTCTGGAAAGTGTTTGTGATATACAGGCAGTACTAAAGTACTTCTATTGGGGGTAGCTCCCAAAGTAATGCCCACATGCCTCTGGGCCAATAAACAAATAAATGAAAATCAACATTTAATGCATGTCAATATTCAGCCATGTCTAATGCTACCATATAGAGTTGCTCTGCCATACATCTCCCAATGGACCTTACCTCCTCCTCTTTAAGCTTTTGTCTCCTTTTCTCTTCAACAGCTGCTCTCTTCTGCTCCTCCCTCTGCCTCTGTTCCTCCAGTCTTTTCCATCGCTCTTCCATTTGCTTTTCATACTGAAGTTTCGCTCTTCTCTCCTTCTCCAGTATCTGCTGTTCCCTAGCAGCTTAGGCAGAGAAAAAGGTGCATTTCACTTCATGCAAATTTTCTTCTCCTTTAAAATTATTTTACGACATGACACAACAGCATAAACAACAAATGCAAGCACACATGGTCTTAGTCCACTGAAGTAAAAAATATAGTGCTGTAATGATTAGTAAATCTAAGTGATTTGCTCAGTAAATAAACAGGGAAGCCTTTGGTACACAAGGTGAGTTTGTGCCCTGTACCTATGTAAAACCGGTGTACAGAATAGTTAACAACTTGGTTTTGTTTATGTTTCAAATCCCTCTGCAGCTTAAAGCCAAATTCTTTTTTCAAACATAACACATATTCCCAGTAGCTTTTAAAGTGAATCAGTTAAACATGCTGAAGCAAAAGCCCTTGGAATTTCTTTAAAACTGTGCTTCCCTTTATGGGGCTGCCTTCAAAATAAACACATGAAAACAACATATGCTAAATTTTCTATGAAGCTTTGAAAATGCACCATTCTGTCTCTGTCTGTAATTTGGTGCTACACTGTTATTCACTTCTGCCTGTTTGCGTGAAACAAAATTACTTCTGTTACTGAGGATTTGCCCAGTTGTTTATTCCAACTGGTGGAGCCATCATCTTCTTGAGACATTAGCTTTTGTTACAGAAATTCAGACTATAACATTGCGTACAGGACTGTTGCTTCAGGTTTACACAGGAGACGTAGTAGCAGCAGTTAACATGACAAATCAAAAGGAAAAATCCACTTCTCATGCAAGTGTATTGCATAAAAAGGCAGGGAAAAGCTGTTCAGTAAGCATGCCTACAAACATAAAAGCCTGTAATGTCACATACCAACACATATACAGCCAGAATCAAAAGTGGAATATTCTTACAGTTGCCAGGCTAAGAACTTGAAAGTTAGGGAAAGCCAGAATTAACAGTGTTTATACAAGAGCTAGTCCTTCATCCTGCACATCTATTCAGCCTCAGTCTGCTTCTTCGGTTCCTGTTTCCCTGTACAGCAAATTTTCTTCCTTCTACTTCTCTCACTATCTTCCCATCAGTCCTAGGCTCTTGTCCAGCCATCTCAAATTCTCTCTTCTAACATCTTCTCCTTTTTCCACCCAGCTCCTGCCGCTGGGCTCTCTAACCATAGCTGTGACCTTCAATCCCTCTTAGTCCCACTCCACCCTTAGACGCTTGGTTTAAAGCCAAAGTGCCTCCAATACCACCAGATCCTTTTCCAAAAGTTGCTGGATCCCCCTAAAATACATCTTCCTCACATGCAACCTGCTTTACAGAACACCTTCTACCTTATTCTTCTTAAAAATACAGTTTATATTGTCTTCCCCTTTTGCCTTAGGGTAATTCACTATTCCCCCCTGCCCCACGAGAGGGCAGCATGATAGGGTGCTACAGGCAAGCCTGGACTTGTAGGTATGAAGAATCACACTTGTCAACAGATTAAGTTACATCAGAGACAGCGGAAGACAAGTGACCAGTTGCTACGTGTTAACAACCACCAGCCACATCAGGTAGAGCAGGTGAAAACAGCATTAATAAAACCCAAAAATAAAGCAAGGTATCCAGAGATTTGTGCTAGGATTACTTTCTGAGTAAGTAGGTGAAACCTGGGAGTGAGTCTGGACAGAGAAGGAAACCATTCTGTCATCATGGACATACATACAATTCTTGTTCCTTGATTTAGGGATACTAAATCACTAATGAATGAATTTTGGCTTTGGAGAAAAGGTTATTCCATATTGCTGCAAAGTACCTGCTGGCTGCGTAAAGATCTGTTCTGCTTTTTTTCTGAACTTCTAAAAGAAAGGTGCCACAGGCAAACTGTGCCCAAATCCCAGAGCTTCTAAAAATGGTCTTAACTCTAAAATTTCTAGAAGGCACATGTGATGTCTGTAGAAAAGTGCAGCCAACACCTTGCAAATCCCTTGAGCCAACCACTCCCAGATTCTCCAGCTTTCAGTTTCCCCTCGCATCTCTTCTTCTGCTTTTTAATCCACATCCTTTCCAATCTCCTCATCACGTCACTTTCTTGGGAACCAGCAATGAAGAACTAATCAAAAGTATAGACGAGAGAGTCTGGACTGAATATACCTGGAAGAGATGTAAGCTACAACTCAGGCTGGTGCATGCCCCACGTAGACAGAACCTCTGGAGAGATCAAGTGCTAAACACCAGTAGATTTTCACAGGAATTACCAAACAGAATCTTGCTTATGAAGCCCACGGGTACTAAAAAATGTCTTGTCACTGGTCTCAAGACTTGTGTTTTGTCAAGAAACACGAAACTGTATGTTTGGTTATTTATTGCAAGAAAACCAGTATTTTCCTAAGATTCTTTTCACAGGTGTCCATACTGGCTTTTAGCTGGCATTTCCTCCAAATATATGCCTTGCTTGAATTCTACAAAACCATAAAACACTGACAGTTCCTTCTGAAATGTGTTGTCAGGTAACGTTATGGACAGTGCTACCGGCCTTTCTTGTTATTACCATGAGGAAACGTGAAGGTAACCATTCAACATTTTTAAAATACATACATATGTAAAGTCCAAAACAATGTTGAACAATTAATTTCATTCATATATATACACACACACACACACACATATATATTGCAATTTCCTCAACATTTCCCTGGAAGTATTCATAGATTAAAAAACAACTGACTGTTTTAAAACCTCTGAAATCAATGCTTATGTTATTCAGAAAAGGAATTAGTCATCTTTTTAATTCTCTTGAAATATTAACAGTTTAAAAACTTACAATAGATTATCTGCTTTATACCATACTGAACAACTCCATGATCTTTTAACATGGCTAAAACTTAATAGACTGTTTCACCAAATCATCCTACATATCATCCTGAATATTATTCAAGGCTTATTTGGTGTTTTTACGTATCAGAATCCTAACAAACAGTATCTTGCACATAATTTAAAAGTAGTAATATAAGTGATAAAGACCAGGAACAGACTGAAACATAATGCTTAAAATTCAGAACAGAAAAAATGTCATGTTAGTAAATTAAGCCTATTAACACATATGCATAAATAACACATACACCTCCCGCCATCTTACCGAGGTATTTCTCCCTTTCTTCTCTTCTCTCCTTTGCCAGTCTTTGTCTTTCATCGGTTTTCAGAAATCCATCAATGGCTGAAGTCAGAGAGAAGGAAAAGAAAAGAAAGTATTAAAAACGTGTTAGTAAAACTAAAGCAGCATCCAAAAGAACTAAAAAAATCCACCAAGAATATGTTGTATCTATGGCATTTAGCAATTCCAACAACACTTGCACGTAACAAGCCGGGATTTGGATACATTTTGAGCACAGTCTCCTTCCTTCCTACCTACTGATGAACTCGAAGCACAGTTCCTCGGTGCAAATGCCTGATTCCTCTTCTCAGAGCACACTACCATGCTGCCAGTGCTTTTAAAAAACTTAAAACTTTCTTAGGAAAAAAATATAAGGATGCAATTAACATGTATTAATCTTTGTTAATAACCTCATTTTGAAGTTTTTGGCTAAAAAAGAAAAAGGTAATTCAGGAAAGCAGTAAAAGCGGTATGCAGCTCTCATGGTCTAATGCCATGTGGAGTCTGAGTCTTCATACTTACAGCTTAACACAGCTCTGTAGCTTCCTTGTCCACAGGAAACCACCAGCATCAGCTCATTTCAACAGCCAACAATTAGTGCTGAATGAGGAGAGACAGCAGCCCTCCTGCCCTCTTTTGCAGGTAGGAAACATTTTGTTTCCTTGTCAAGTTTGCAGCTAAGAGCAGGTTGCTTCTTTGGGAGGAGGTTGCCTAAGGATGTTTTGTACCTGGATCCAGACACCCCAGTTCTTTCCACAGCATGAGCCACCAAAAAGCCCAATTTAAGAAGGCAGGCAGGCAGGCAGAGCACGACATACGAGATGCCTCAGGGTCACCTGCCTGCGTGCCCTGTAATGAGCAGCCAGATGGACCATAGGTGGATCTTCTGCAATACCAGTGTAAGCTCACCAGCTAGTGACTTGACAGACCAGCTAGAGGATGGTATCCTTTTAAAACAGCTGGCAGGGCCTCCAGTGTCCTCCTTTCTCTCTTTGTTTTCAGGATCTCCTGAGGTCTTAGCAGGGTTGCCGTGCAAACAGGCAGGACATCTCACAGCACAGTTTACATCCTTTGCAATCATTACTTGGATTCCCTACTGAGTTAGTGAATTATAATTAAGTCCCCTTCTCCTCTGCTCTAAGAACTGCAGTTGTTAATTTCATCAGATAAATAGGAGTGGAAAAGTTACTCAGACTGAACCCAGGCTCTCTTCCTGAAAAGTGCCACTTGCAGGCTCCTCTCCAAGGGCATCCTGTGTGTTGGAGCTGAGATTTTGCATGACAAGCACCTTTCTGTAAAACTGCATGGTTCTGTACAAAGGCTAAAAACCGGCCTTGATGTTCCCTTGTGACTGGTGAAAAGCTCAGGTCTCAGCTGTTGCCCATTAGAATAACAGCTTGCTTTTTCCCCAAGCAGCACCTTCGAACACCATTTCTAATCCGCCTCTGCACACACAAATGGCAACTACCGGATGGCAGCCAGGCCTCTGGAAAATTGTGATTGTAGCTCCCAGATGGTTAATTACAACTAGAATTTGTGGGTCAAATACACATCTATTTATTACCGAAGACTCATCCTACTTCCATCCTAGTCCACTGGTTTGTTCGCTTGGGTGCCATTTATTGTCAGACTTGACAAGTAGGGAGGAGAGAAGAGGAGGTGGCTCAGTAAAGCAACCATGGTGACAGTTTGCAACTACTTTGAAGGGGCCTGCTTTAAGTAGCCAAGAAGGGGAATCCTGTTGTCAGCATTCTTAAATTACAGCTCCAATAAAAAGTATTTCAGTGGTCTGAAAGTCAAACCAGCACAAAACCTACAATTTAGGCTAGAAGCAGCAGAGGAAGTGAAACCAAGACTGAAGCTCAAAAAGAAAAGACTGAACTTGGGAGCAAGTGGAGGCTGGAGGGAGGCTAAGAGTTTATTTACTGGGCATGACATGCTAGCCCTTTGGCTAGTTCAGGTCAGGTGTTCTGTCTCTGCTCTCTCCTGGCTTCTTGTGCCCCTCCTCACTGGCAGAACATAAGACTGAAAAGTCCTTGATCAGGGTAAGTGCTACTTAGCAAGTAGAGGCAGGAGCTAAGGCTTTGTGTGGCAAGGGACATAACTCAGGTGGAGAGGTGGAACCTGAATTGTGGAAACCAGGATGGGGATAGGAACAGCAAGACAGTCCATGTCTATAGATTATGTTCACAAAATCCTGCACTGACTCTCACCTCTCTCCGGCTTTCAGCAACTATCTATGAAACCCACTGGCAAAAAAAAATATCCCATTATGCTTGTCAATAAAATTACAGCAGACTTATCTCTACTTTGATTGCTTAGTGAACACTACTGGCAGAAAAGGATCTAAAAGCTCCGGCCTTGCTCACAACTGCTATAGCTAACCTGAAAAATAGTGCATCAACTTTGGATAGCTTTCTCAAGAGTTCGGATGTCTCAACACCACTCAGGTAATATTAAAAGAAGATCAAGGCTGTAATGCCGGATACTTAATTGGGATGTATCAAAATCAGCACTGAAGTAGTCTGTACAATCCTTAATTCGCTCCTTCAGCAGATATATTAAGCATTTTTCCCTTTTAGGTCTTTTCACTTATTCAGTGCGTAGGATGAACCTCCTCAAGAGGTGAACCAACTTCAAAGTGATTAGTGCTTGTTGCTTCATTTCTTTCTGAAACTAAAAAGTAGACAGAACGATAATCTGAAATCTGCCTTGGAGAACACACTCCAGACTTGGCTATGTCACAGGTGAAACAACAAATAATGGAATTGTTGCTCATTACCTGTGTAATACACTAATGTCCAAAAAACTGTGTGGAGGAAAATAATACACAATATAGTAAGTACAGGCATCAAATGCATACACATGCACCAAGGGTAGCATTAAAATAGCACAGGCATCCTCAATACTAGCATTTCTTAACTTGACTTCACAAATCAGCATACCCGCCAAAAATCAGTGAATATAGCTTTAAAGGACAAATAACTATTCCCTGGGTAATAACTTATACCATGGGATGATATTTTAAGGCCAACATTAGTGTATTTACTACATATCTTTATACAACATACACTATAAAAATAATTGGAACAGCAGTTACTTGTGGTATGAAATGTGATTAATGAAAGGAATTCAAATCGTTTGGTATAGCAGACTGCAAACAGCAAGCACAGGTAACAACCATCAAGGCAACCCAACGCCATTTCTGTTTCACCACCCGGACTGCCAGCAGAGGGCACAACAAGGTTTGAAATCGAAAACCCTGCAGCTAAAAAGCTTTCACTGTGCTAAGTGACCTCAGGTTAACACTCTGTACGCTCAGCTTTGTCCTGAGCCTTCCCTCATATTTACAGCTAAGCCTCCGATCCCTCAGTTAGAAAGGCACGTAGCAGCAAACAATATGTTTAAAAGTCAGGATGTAAACACACACTGGTTGTGCCTTCTGCCACCCAGAGTAACGAATACAAAGAGACACTGGCAGAAAATTTGCTAATAACCCTCTATCCCCAGGCTTGCAGAAGAATAAGGAAACTGCTCAACTAACAACATTAAAGACTTTACTGTAATGAAGCACACATGTACACACATTGCTGCTACTTCTATTCAATCTCCCAGCCTTCCCCAAAAGCCTCTTTTCCAAACAGTCCCTACTCTCAAAGGTATACATCTAACTGCTGGTCTAATTTCTTCAGATTTTGCCTCACTTTTTGACTGAAGAGGGCCAGCTGCTCCTCCAGGACTTTGTTACGACAAGTATTTCTAACAAAAAAGACCATAACTTAAAACCTGTTAAAATGTCAGCAAAATACACCATCTAACACTACAGGACTCATCAATACTTCAATGTTACTTTGAAATAAATACTCACAGGAGTAAAAACTGACAAGTTAATCATTGCTTTTTGATGGATGAAGGAAACCTATTCAGATCGATGAAACAGTGCCAGAACATGTCCACACTCTGTTCTAAATACTGCTTGCGTAAGCCTCTTGGTGGCAGCTTCAGACAGAGAGGAAGGTTGTCCTGAACCGATGAAACACAAGGCAAGCTGTCTTTTGAAATCCATATCCTGTCTCGGGTTGAGAAAACAAGTACTTGAGCAGGATAATCAGGTTACTGGAAGATGAGAGTACATTTCAGAAGGACCAGTCACCTCCTCTCCTGACATTTGCACCTAAGTAAATGCCAGCAGGTCAGGCCTCCGTTTTTTTTTTTCCTTGTTGTTGAACCCACATACAGTTTTATGTGTATGTGGGTTCAACATTATTAGTTCAAAAATTAGTTATTATTGAACTAATAGTGTTCAACATACCTAGATCTTTGACCATCCTACATAGAACCACAAAATCAACCACGTTGGAAAAGACCTTTAAGATCACTACATAACCATGTTCAACACATTTAGACCTTTGTCTATTCCACATGACACTGTGCAACAGTTTCAGACCTTTGTCACAGTGTGTGTCATCTACATTGATGTTGCTTAGTTGGTGAAATTCCAAGTTTGGATGCAGTTTTGCCAAAGGGTGGCATTGCCAGGGATGTGGCAAGGTGGTCTATGCAGCAGACCAACCCAGCCTGAAATATCACTGCACTTACACTCACTATTCTACTGGTAAGCTTTGTTGTTTCAAATAATACAATCTCAACTGATAAAATGAAAGTTTTGTTCCCTAAAAACCTGCTTGCTCTCCCTTGAGACTGTTCTTTGAGACAATAAAAGACAAACTTTACTCAAAACACTGTCTCCCTCCAGGTATTACTGAATGAAGAAATGTTATGTTCAAGTTTTCAGTTACTGACTATACTCCAAGGTGAAAAAAAGGTATAAAACCGCGTATGACTGTACCCACATGACAGTTTCTATCGGCAAAAGACACCTTCTCTAAATCTTGATTATGGTACACCACTGGAAAGGCTTTCAGGTAGAGTCAATATGGAAACAGCACAAGGGCTTTGGAGGTATGTTCCGTAAGCTTTAGTGGATTGTTCTCTTTTCTGATAATTGTCTGTTTAAAATTTTTAATTAAAAAGGTGTTTATTCAATTGCACTCAAAAAAACC